ACAGGCACCCACCACCATGCCTGTCTAATTTTTTGTATTTTCTAGTAGAGATAGGGTTTCACTGTGTTAGCCAGGATGGTCTCGATCTCCTGACCCCGTGATCCCGTCTTGGCCTCCCAGAGTGCTGGAATTACAGGCGTGAGCCACCGCGCCCGGCCGTGTTTGTGTTTTTGTTTTTGTTTTGAGACAGAGTTTCACTCTTGTTGCCCAGGCTGTAGTGCAATGGCATGATCTCGGCTCACTACATCCTCCACCTCCCGGATTCAAGCAATTCTGCCTCAGCCTCCCGAGTAGCTGGGATTACAGGCATGCACCACCACATCCAGCTAATTTTTTGTATTTTTAGTAGAGATGGGGTTTCACCATATTGGCCAGGCTGGTCTCGAACTCCTGACCTCAGGTGATCTGCTCGCCTCAGACTCCCAAAGTGCTGGGATTGCACGTGTGAGCCACCCTACCCGGCCAACGCTGTGGTTTTTGAAACCTCGTAGAGGTACCGCCTTGGTCTTGGAGAAGATCTGGAAGAATTGTCTGGATTAGCAGGCAGAGACTCTTGTTCTCTTTCTTTACTTTTTCCCAAACAAATGGAGTCTCTCTCTCTCCCTCTCTGTGCTGAGCCACCTGGAGCTGGGGGTGTGGTGATACAGGCACCTCTGTGGCCACCACCACTGGGACTGCACTGGTCACACTTGAAGCCAGCATAGCACTGGGTCTCACCCAAGGTCTGCTGTAACCACTACCTGGCTACCACCTATGTTCACTCAAGGCCCTGGGGCTCTGCGACCTGCAGGTAGTGAAGCCATCCAGGTTTGTGTCCTTCCCTCAGGGTGATGAGTTCCCCCAGTCCCTAGGTGGGTCCAGAAATGTTGTCTGGGAGCCAGAGATTATTGTCAAAAGCCTTAGCAATTTGCCTCTTCTTCTATTCCATTGCAGCTAAGCAATGGAAAATACAATACAAAGTCCTTACAATACAAACTGCAATACAAAGTCCTTCCTGCTCTTCCCTCCACTTTCCACAGATGGGGATTCTCTTCCAGTGGCCACCACCCCCGCCAGCCCATGGTGGGGGGTTCTGGCAGACCACAGCTGATGTTCACTAAAGCCCAAGGGCTCCTCAGTCAGCTTGTCGTCAATGCTGCCAGCCCTGGGACTCACCCTGCAGGGAAATGGCCTTCCCTCTGGCCCAGGGCAGGTCTAGAAATGCTGTCCAAGAGCCTAGGCCTGGACTCAGGGACCCCAAGAGCCTCCTCCGTGCTCTGCCCCACTGTGGCCAGGCTGGTACCTAGGGTGCAAGACAAAGTCCCCTTTACTCTTCCCTCTGCTTCCCTTTTTCACTTTCGCCACCAGAGCTGGGAGTGTGCCAGGTCACACCTGAAGTCAGCATGTCTCAGAGCCCAAGGCCCATGGTGTACCCCCTGGGTATCGCTGCCGGTTATTCAGGGCCCACGTGTGATGAATCCTGCCAGGGCTGGGTCCTTGTCTCCAAGACAGTGGGTTCCCTTCTGCCCCAGGGTGTGTCTAGAATGCTGGTGAGCTAGGGCCTGGACTGGGCACCTCACTCCTCTACCCAGCGTCCTCTTCTACTGTGGCTGAGCTGGTATCTAAGATGCAAGACCAAGTCCTCATTACTTGTCACTCTTCTCTCCTTGAGCAGAAGAAATGAGTTACTTTCATTGTTTTGCCAGCTCTGCACCCCGGGGTTGGGGGAGGGGTGGCAAGCACTCTCTGAGCCACCCTGGCTCCTGGCTCCTGGCTCCCTGGGTCATGTGCCACCCCAGTCCTCTGGGTCTGAGCCGAGCCCAGCACTAGGAATTGCTGAGGAACCACAGTCCTTGTGTCCTAGACTGTCTTGCAAGTTTACCTAGGATCCCTGAATACTTTGACCCGTGGTGGCGAGGCTTGCCCAGAAACTCAAGTTCTGGCCACTGGAATGGGCGATTCCCCTCTGGCTAGGGCTGGCCCAAATGCTCCCTTCTGGTGTGGGTGCTGACTGAGCCCAGCATGGCTTTGCTCTCTGCTGTGACAGGGCAGCCCTGAGTCCAGTGTCATGCACCCCAGTCACTGCTCTCTCCCTCCCACAAGTGCACAGACTCAGTGCTGCATGGCCTCTGCCAGCAGGTGAGGGAGCAGGGTGGTGTCAGCGATTTAGGACTGTCTCTCCCACCCTCATCAGTGCGTCTTCCTATGATATGAAGTTAAAAGCAGGTACTGTGATGGCTCAGCTGATTTTTGGATCTTGTGACGGTGCTTTTCTGTGTGCAGAGAGTTGTTAAAATTTGGTGTTCCTGTGGGGGTGAGGAGTGGGATGAATGCTTTGCCCCCTTTCTTTTTTCTTTTTTTTTTTTCTCCCTGTTACAGGGTCTCCTTCTGTGGCCCAGACTGGAGTGCAGTGTGCGATCACAGTTCACTGCAGCCTCAACTGCCTGGGTTCAAGAATTCCCCCACCTCAGGCTCCTAAGTAGCTTGGACCTGCGTCACCGCACACGGCTAATTTTTCGATTATTTGTAGTGACAGGGTCTCGCCATGTTGCCCAGGCTAGTCTCAAACTCTTGGACTGAAGCGATCCTCTTGCCTTGGCCTAAAGTGCTGGGATTACAGGTGTGAGCCACCACATCCAGCCTATCCTTTACTTCAGTGTAGCCAATGGCACACAACAATAACCAAGGGATTGTATATTTAGCTTGTTTCTTGTTATTTTACATTTCCTTACACATCCACTGTGCCAGCTCCTTGGGAGTTGGTTCCATCATTTCTAAATTCTGTAACTAACTTTACCTCTCATAACTGATCACAGTGCAGCTACTGTGTCATGCCATAAGTGACACAGTAACTATGCAGGAATAAAGCTCCATCAGCCACCTCCTTTACCTTCCTTTTTCCAAGTTAAGCTTGCACCAAGTTTCAGAGAGGGTAATTCTAGTGAATCACACTTCTGAAGCCAGCTGTGTCGGGAGTCCCCAAGATCTGCCCCTCTCAGTTCAGTGATTTGCTGTAACAACTCAACGGAATTCAGAAATGCTGTTATACTCATTGTCATGGTTTATTACACTGAAAAGATACAGATAAAAGTCAGCAGAGGTCAGTGGTGCCCAGGACAGAGTCCAGCAGACACACAGCACAGAATTCCCACTGTTGTCTTCCAGTGCAGTCATACAGACAGTGCTGAATTCTCCCAGCCACAGTGTGTGACACTGTGTACAGGACACTGCCTATAAGGGACCTCCACCAAGCCCTCATGTTCAGAGGAGTTCTGGGGGGGTTGGTCTTGTACGTATGGAGTACTTGAGTGGCTGACATTAGGTACGAAGTCTCTTGCCCCCTCTAGAGGTCAAACTGATACAGGCAGATCCAAGGTCTCTACCATACTCACCTTGTCAGCAAACTGGCATGGCCTAAGGCTTCAGGAATTCAAAGACACTGTTACCAGGCAGAATACTACCAAAGCACACAGCTCATCTTCCAAAAACTGGTCAAGGTCTTGTTCTTTTTTCTTCAAGATACAGAGATGCTGCCTTCCCCAAGCTGATGAGTCGACCCTTTACTGCACAGAGGCTCCCTCAGCCTGGAGGCCCACATTTCAGGCCCAACTCAAGCCAACGCACCAGAGGCGGCAGTCCCACCAGCACCATCACAACAGTGACCTCTTTTCATATATGACACCCCAAAACAGTAGACAAAATTCAGCAGGAAAATAATGTTCAATGTAGAATTCTAGGCCAAGCATAGTGGCTTACATCTGTAATCCCAGCACTTTGGGAGGCTGAGGCAGGCAGATCACTGGAGGTCAGAGGTTCAAGACCAGCCTGGCCAACATGGTGAAAACCCCGTCTCTACTAAAAACACAAAAATTAGCCAGGTGTGGTGGGCGCCTGTAGTCCCAGCTACTTGGGAGGCTGAGGGCAGGAGAATCGAACCTGGGAGGTGGAGGTTGCAATGAACCAGGACTGTGCCACAGCACTCCAGCCTGGGCAACAGAGCAAGACTCCATCTCAAAAAATAAAAAAGAATTCTAGACCCAACCAAACTGTTAGCCACATATAAAGACAGACATTTAAGACATCTTACGTCTCATAAATACCCTCAGATGAGCTGTGACATCTGCAGAAATAACACATTGGAAATTCACCATTTGCTATGCGACATGAAAAACCTGACAAAAACATCAGTCTCAACTTTTTCAGAAGTCTGGAAATTAACTAAAAGCTCATAAATACCCATGAGCATTTATTCAAGAAAAATGGAGGGCCAGGCACAGCAGCTCAGACCTGGAATCCCAGCCCTTTTAGAGACTGAGGTGGAAGGTTCTCTTGAGACCAGGAGTTGGAGACCAGCCTGGGCAACATAGCAAGACCCCCTTTCTACCAAAAAACAAAAAGAAGAAAAGTGGCTGAAGCTGAGAATGGCAAGCTGTGTGGTATTTTAACTTGTTCTGTTCATATCCCCCCTCTCCCCAGTTAGGGGACAGACTTGAAACAAGACAGTCTGCATGGCCCCACAGAAACCTGAGGAAGCCCCGGCAGCTGGAGCTTCAAAACCTCATTCCCAAGCCACACATGATGGCACATGCATGTAATCCCAGCACTTTGGGAGGCCAAGGCAGGTGGATAACCTGAGGTCAGGAGTTCGAGACCAGCCTGGCCAACATGGTGAAACCCTGTCTCTACTAAAAATACAAAAAAATCAGCCAGGCATGGTTGGTGGGTGCCTGTAATCCCAGCTACTCTGGAGGCTGAGGCAGGAGAATCACTTGAACCCTGGAGGTGGAAGTTGCAGTGAGCTGAGATTGCGTCATTGCACTCCAGCCTGGGCGACAAGAGCAAAACTCCGTCTCAAAAACAAAACAAAATTATTTGGGCTCAGTGGTGCCTAAACTCCCAGCTACTTGGGAGGCAGGAGGTCTACTTGAGGTCACAACTGCAGTGAGCCGTGATCCTGCCACTGCACTCCAGCCTGGGCAACAGAGTAAGACCCTGTCTTTTTTTTTTTTTTTTTTTTTTTAAAGTCAACATATCCTGAACAAAGGATCCTCCATAACGTTCCCACCAGATTTCTAATCAGAAACATGGAGGCCAGAAAGCAGTGGAGGACGACGGCCCTCAGGCAGCCCTGAAGGATGTTGTCACAGGCTGGGGCAAGGGCCTTCAGGTTACCAACTGGAAGCTCTGGGAACAGCCCTGTTGCAAACAAGAAGCCATGGCCAGGCCGGAGCCCAGGAATGCGGGCTGGGCTGGGATCCAGGTGACAGCTTTGAGGCTCACTGGGAGCAGCCTCTGGACAGGAGAAATCCCACGCAGGAAACCTCAGGCATGGCTGAGAAGTGCGGTACTTGGTGCTGGGTCTGTATGTGTGTGTGTGACAATGCGTGTGCCGAGTGTCAGTGTGAGTCTGTGTGCATGTGAGTACTGTTTTCGTGTGGGTGATTTTGTGGGTGTGTGATCGTGTCCCTGCAAGTGTGGACAAGTGTCTGGGAGTGGACAAGAGGTCTGTGCACCGTCAGGGGTGTGCATAGCGTCTGTGCATGTCAAGAGTGCAGTGTGAAGGGACCAGGCCCATGGCGTCTCTGATCATCATGAGCTCCCTAAGGCCCCAGGTAAGTGCCAGTGACAGATAAGGGTGGTAAAGGCCACTCTGGAATGGGTAGGTGGGGTAAGGAAAGGGGAAGGCCATGTTCTGGAGGAGGGGTTGTGACCACATTAGGGTGTATGAGCCTAGCAGAGAGGTGGATGGCAGGGTGCACTGAGACCTTGGTTATCCCAGAAGCCTGTGCGGGCTTGAGAAGCTGGGAGTGGGGAGAGGGAGTGACTTCTCCGACCAGGCCCCTCCACTGCCCTACCCTGGGTAAGGGCCTGGAGCGGGCAGCAGGGGCAAAGACCTCTGGAGCAGCCCCTACCCGCCCTGGCCTGACCCTGTACCCACTGGCAGTACAATCAAAACAGCAGGTTGGCTCACAGCAGAGGGCAAAGGCCATGATCAGCTTCCTTTATAAGGGAATGATCACGCACTTGGTGTGCTGAGAGTGTCCTGCCTCGTCCTCTGTGCCTGGTGCGGTGGGGGAGCCAGGTGTGTCCAGAGGAGCCCAGGGGGCAGTGAGGCAGCTATGGAGCTAGATGCACTGGTGCCCCTGGCTGTGACAGTGGCCATCTTCCTGCTCCTGGTGGACCTGATGCACCGGCGCCAACGCTGGGCTGCACGCTACCCGCCAGGTCCCCTGCCACTGCCGGGGCTGGGCAACCTGTTGCATGTGGACTTCAAGAACACACCATACTGCTTCGACCAGGTGAGGGAGGAGGTCCTGGAGGGTGGCAGAAGTCCTGAGGATCCCCCACCAGCAGCAAACACGGGTAGTGGGTGAAACCACAGGCTGGACCAGAAGCCAGGCTGAGAAGGGGAAGCAGGTTTGGGGGACTTCCAGGGGGAGGGCACGAAGGACTGGATTTTCCAAAAACCAAGGAAGAGTAGGGCAAGGGCCTGGAGGTGGAGCTGGACTTGGCAGTGGGCGTGCAAGCCCATTGGGCACAATATGTTATGGAGCACAAAGTCCCTTCTGCTGACACCAGAAGGAAAGGACTTAGGAATGGAAGACAAGTCAGGGTCCTGAGTGCCGTTTAAATCAGGAAATCAAGGATGAAGGGTGTGCAGTGACCCGGTTCAAACCTTTTGCACTGTGGGTCCTCAGGCCTCACTGCTCACTGGCATGGACCATCATCTGTAAAATGGGATGCTAACTGGGGTCTATCGGCAATTTTGGTGACCCTTATAAGGTCATAGCTGGGTGATGCATCCAAACTGAGTTCCTCCATCATAGAAGGTGTGAACCCCACCCCCACCTCAGGATTATGAGGCCAGGTCTCCTCCTTCCACCTGCTCACTCCTGGTATCCCCGGGGGTCACCCAAGGCTCAAACAGGACTAGGACCTGCAGTCTGGGTGGGGGGGACCCTGGCTTGATGGAGGCCCTGACCCTCCCTCTGCAGTTGCGGCGCCGCTTCGGGGACGTGTTCAGCCTGCAGCTGGCCTGGACGCCGGTGGTCGTGCTCAATGGGTTGGCGGCCGTGCGCGAGGCGCTGGTGACCTACGGCGAGGACACAGCCGACCGCCCGCCTGTGCCCATCAACCAGGTCCTGGGTTTTGGGCCGCGCTCCCAAGGCAAGTGGCAGTGGGCACAGAGACCTCATTTCCGTGGGCCCTGGGTGGGCGGTGACCGAAGTCCGAGCTGGGCGGAGAGGGCGCGGGGTCGTGGATGTGAAACAGAAAGGCCAGCCAGTGGGGACAGCGGGCCAGGAAACCACCTGCACTGGGGAGGTGTGAGCCTAGGGATGAGGGCGGGGCTTGCGACGAGTGGGCGGGGCCACTGCCCAGACCCGCCAGGAGCCGGGTGGGTGAGGATGGCGCCTTTCCCAGCTGGAATCAGGTGTCGAAGAGGGGAACGGCGTCAGCGCCTGTGCGTGGGTTCAGCGTAGGTGGGGCGGGGCATGCGGGATCTTCCCTGAGTGGAAAGGCGGTCAGGGTGGGCAGAGAAGGGGTGGGGCAAAAACCTGCCCCAGCCAGGGAAGCAAGGCAGGTAAGCAGGGTGGGCCCTGTGCCCAGCTGGACCAGGCGAGGGACTGCGGGAGACCTTGGGTAGCGCTGGGTTGCAGTGGGTGGCAGAGGGTGGGGCCAAGGACTTCATGGCCACTCGCACCTGCCTGTCCTGCCCCCAGGGGTGTTCCTGGCGCGCTATGGGCCCGCGTGGCGCGAGCAGAGGCGCTTCTCCGTTTCCACCTTGCGCAACTTGGGCCTGGGCAAGAAGTCGCTGGAGCAATGGGTGACCGAGGAGGCCGCCTGCCTCTGTGCCGCCTTCGCCGACCAAGCTGGTGGGTGATGGGCAGAGGGGCACAAGGCGGGAACTGGGAAGGCGGGGGACGGGGAAGGTGACCCCTGACCCGCATCTCCCGCCCCCAGGACGACCCTTTCGCCCCAACAGCCTCCTGGATAAAGCAGTGAGCAACGTGATAGCCTCCCTCACCTATGGGCGCCGCTTTGAGTACGACGACCCTCGCTTCCTCAGGCTGTTTGACTTAACACATGAGGCACTGAAGGAGGAGTCAGGCTTCCTGCGCGAGGTGCAGAGTGATGGACCCCGGGGTCTCTGCAGGGCGAGCTCCTGAGAAGTGCCAGGGCTGCAGTGGGGCCTCCGAGGAACAGGATTTGCAGAGGGTTTGGGAAAGGACATTCCTAGAGAGTCCACTGCTAGAGGAAGGGCCTGGAGGAGGAGGGGAAGTCTCAGACAAGGTCATGGGAGAGGTGTGCCCTGGTCAGGGGGCACCAAGAAAGGCCAAGGACTGTGCCCCCTGTCCATGGTAGAGATTTCGATTTTGGGTTTCTCTTCTGGCAGCCCAGGGCAAGGAGAGAGGGTGGAGGCTGGCACTTGGAGAGGTCAGTGGTAAAGACAGGCAGGCCCTGGGTCTTCCCTGGAGACAGCTGGGGCCTGAGACTGGTCCAGGTGAACACAGAGCACAGGAGAGATTGAGACCCCGTTTTGTGTCTGGTGTAGGTGCTGAATGCCATCCCCCTCCTCCTGCACATCCCTGGGCTGGCTGGCAAGGTCCTACGCTCCCAAAAGGCTTTCCTGACCCAGCTAGATGAGCTGCTGACCGAGCACAGGATGACCTGGGATCCAGCCCAGCCACCCCGAGACCTGACTGAGGCCTTCCTGGCAGAGATGGAGAAGGTGAGAGCGGCTGCCATGGTGGGGACCAAGGGTGGTGGATTGAGCATCCCAGGAGGAATGAAGGGAGGCTGGGCAAACGGTGGGGCCAGGGCATCCTGGCAAGCAGCCTCTGGGCTGACAGGTACAGAATGGGAGGTCATTAGGGGGCTACCCCAATATGTCCCCTGAGCACCCTCTTGGCCCTGCTCAGGCCAAGGGGAACCCTGAGAGTAGCTTCAATGAAGAGAACCTGCGCATAGTGGTGGCTGACCTGTTCTCTGCTGGGATGGTGACCACCTCGACCACGCTGGCCTGGGGCCTCCTGCTCATGATCCTGCACCCGGATGTGCAGCGTGAGTCCAGCAGGTGCCGAGTGCAGGGGGCGAGGGAGGAAGGGTACAAGTGGGGGCCCGTGAACTTAGCTGAGACACCCGGGGCTCCCAGCACAGTCTTGAACAGGCTCCTGTAAGCCTGACCTCCTCCAACACAGGAGGTAGAGTGTCAGGGCCACTCCCTAGGTGCTGACCCATTGTGGGGACGCATGTCTGTCCAGGCCGTGTCCAACAGGAGATCGACGACGTGATAGGGCAGGTGCGGCGACCTGAGATGGGTGACCAGGCTCGCATGCCCTACACCACTGCCGTGATTCACGAGGTGCAGCGCTTTGGGGACATCGTCCCCCTGGGTGTGACCCATATGACATCCCGTGACATCGAACTACAGGGCTTCCTCATCCCTAAGGTAGGCCTGGAGCCCTCCTCACCCCAGCTCAACACCAGCCCCTGGTGGTAGCCCCAGCATGGCCACTACCAGGTGGGCCCAGTCTAGGAACCCTGGCCACCCAGTCCCTCAATGCCATCACATCAACTGTCCCAGCTTGGTTGTGGGGTCCAGAGTAGAGGCAGGGCTGGCCTGTCCATACAGAACCCCAGTCTAGTGGGGTAGACAGATCAGGACCTGCCAGAATGTTGGACGACCCAATGCCTGTAGGGAGAGGGAGCAGCATGGGTGCCCCGAGAGGTGTGACTGCGCCCTGCCATGGGGTCAGAGAGGGTGCCCAGGAGCTTCTCAGGTGCAGGACTAGTTGAGAGTCCAGCTGTGTGCCAGGTAGTGTGTCCCCCGTGTGTTTGGTGGCAGGGGTCCCAACATCTTAGAGCCCCGTCCCCACTCTCACCATGCATCTCCTGCCCAGGGGACGACGCTCTTCACCAACCTGTCAACGGTGCTGAAGGATGAGGCCGTCTGGGAGAAACCCTTCCGCTTCCACCCCGAACACTTCCTGGATGCTCAGGGCCACTTTGTGAAGCCAGAGGCCTTCCTGCCTTTCTCAGCAGGTGCCTGTGGGGAGCCCGGCTCCCTGTCCCCTTCTGTGGAATCTTGCAGGGGTCCTGCCCGGGAGGCAGGCTCACTGACACCCCTCCCCTCCCCACAGGCCGCCGTGCATGCCTCGGGGAGCCCCTGGCCCGCATGGAGCTCTTCTTCTTCTTCACCTGCCTGCTGCAGCGCTTCAGCTTCTCGGTGCCCGCCGGACAGCCCCGGCCCAGCCACCATGGTGTCTTTGCTTTCCTGGTGACCCCATCCCCCTACGAGCTTTGTGCTGTGCCCCGCTAGAATGGGGTACCTAGTCCCCAGCCTGCTCCCTAGCCAGGGGCCCTGATGTACAATAAAGCAATGTGGTAGTTCCAACTTGGGTCCCCTGCCCAGGCCCTGGTTGGGAACGTCCTCCCCAGGGCAGTCCCACCCCTGCCTCATTCCTGCTTACCCCACCACCTGGCCGCGTTTGAGACGGGTATGTTGAGGTTGAGCAGATGTTAGCTAGCCTTGCCCATAATCCCACGTCCCCCACTGACCCAACTCTGCCCAGATTGGTGACAAGAACTACATTGTTCTGGCATCTGGGGGAAGGAGCCAGAATGGGCTGACTAGAGGTGTCAGCCCTGAGTGTGGTGGAGAGGGCAGGACTCAGCCTGGAGGCCCACATTTCAGGCCTAACTCAGCCCACCCCCCATCAGGGGCAGCGGTCCCGCCAGCACCATCACAACAGTTATCTCCTTTCATAAATGACACTCCAAAAAGGAAGACAAATCATGGCATCAGGGACTTATATGCCAGGGCTACCTCCCAGAGCTCAGTCAGCAGGTGCCAGAACGTTCCCTGGGAAGGCCCCAAGGCCCCATGGAAGCCCAGGACTAAGCCACCGCCCTCAGCCTCTATCACCTCACCACACGACTGGCCACCTCTCTGGGTCCTCAGACATGCCGCTGTCCAGACCCCTGACCAGTGGCGAGTTTGCCCTCGGGGCCAGGCTGGAGCTGAAGAACACTTGCTGGGCTCCAACCCTAGGTGCCATCCTCCCGGTAGGGGGTCAGGCAGGGCCCACAGGCTTGGCCAGGGGCCATGCATGAGCCCTGTGGGCCACAGGCCTGCCCTAGGGACAGGAGTCAACCTTGGGCCTATGAAGCACTGGGGCAGGCAGAGGAGGTGGTGGTGGCATGGGCAAGCTGAGAGCCAGAGACTCTGACCCTAGTCCTGGCTCTGCCATTACCCCATGTGACCCTGGGCTTCTGTTTCCCTTCTGCCAATGAGAAGGTTGCTTCAGCTGCCCTGAGTCCTATCTTCCTGCTCTGCCTTCTGGGGCTGTAGCCCCTGCTGGCCTGGAGCCCACCAAAGGCAGGGACCGCTGTCCTCTATGTCTGTCCTCACCGACATAATGGGCTGGGCTGGGTTGGGCACACAGGCAGTGCCCAAGAGTTTCTAATGAGCATCTGCTTACCTGAGTCCTGGGCAGACCCTCTTAGGGAAGAGCCTGGGATAGAGAACCACAGACACTCTGAGAAGCCACCTGAGACTTCTTTTGCCAGAGGACCCTACAGCATCCCTGGCAGCGGTTCCCGCCAGCATTTCTGTAAATGCCCTCTTGCCAGGGTGTGGCCCGGCTGTCAGCACGAGAGGGACGTTGGTCCATCCCCTGGCACCGAGTCAGTTGGAAGGCCGGCCAGGGCCCCCTTGTCCCTTCCAGAGACAATCCATTGTGGTGACATGGCTCGGTGGCAGGAAGTGCTGTTCCTGCAGCTGTGGGGACAGGGAGTGTGGATGAAGCCACACTGGGTTTCTCTGAAGACGGAGGCCCCAAAAGGCAGCAGCAGGGCCTGTAGCAGCAGCAAAGCCTATAGCAGCAGCAACTCTTGGAATTATTGGAAACTTTTTCTTCACAGTTCGGAGTCTTGAGGGTGTTGGAGGCTGAGAGCCAGTCCAGGCAGAGCTCTGTCATGAGCACGGGGAACCAGTCCCAGGGCCTTATGCTCTTTGCTGTCCTCAGAGGCCTCTGCAAAGTAGAAACCGGCAGCCTTTTGAGTCCCCTGCTGGGAGCAAACCTCCCTCTGAGATGCCCAGGGGCCAGGTCAGCTGTGGTGAAAGGTAGGGATGCAGCCAGCTCAGGGGAGTGGCCCGGAGTTCCTGCCCACCCAAGGAGGCTCCTAGGAAGGTCCAGGTACCTGACTCTGGGCTGCTTCCCTCCCCTCCACAGCTCAGGAAGGCGGGAAAGGGCTGGGGTGTGTGTGACCCTAGCAGTCTCTGAGAAGTAGGGTGGAAGCAGCCCCCTGCAGCACGCTGGGCCGGTGGTCTTACCAGATGGATACCCAGCAATTTCCTTTTGAACCTTTTTATTTTCCTGGCAGGAGGAAGAGGAACCCAGCAGTGAGATCAGGCAGGTTTTGTGTTACACAGACAGGGAAACAGGCTCTGTCTGCAAGAAGTCGGTGGGGCCAGGATGAGGCCCAGTCTGTTCACACATGGCTGCTGCCTCTCAGCTCTGCACAGATGTCCTCACTCCCCTGGGACAGCAGCTTGGCCTGCTGGTCTTGAGGTTGAGCCAGCCTCCAGTACTGCCTCCCTGCCCCGCTGCCTCCCACTCTGCAGTGCTCTGTGGCTGCTCAGTCGGACCCATGCTGGAGACATTCCAGTTGAAGCCCCGGGCTGTCCTTACCTCCCAGTCTGGGGTCCCTGCCACCTCTTCTTGCTCAGCAGGAATGGGGCTAGGTGCTTCCTCCCATGGGGACTTCACCTGCTCTCCCTCCTAAGACAAGACAGCAGCCTCCTCGGGGGCAGCATCATTCAGTCCTCCAGGTCCCCTGGGGATCATGACCTGCAGGAGGAATAAGAGGGCAGACTGTGGGCAGAAAGGCCTTCAGAGCACCTCATCCTCCCGTTCTCACACTGGGGTGTCGCAGTCCTGTGAAGTTCTTCCTTTTCAGTTGAGCTGTGGTAACCTTGTGAGTTTCCTGGAGGGGGCCCGCCACTACCCCCGGGACTCCCTGCCATGTGTCTGGGTCTAACTGAGCTCTGATAAGAGAGAGCCCCAGCCCTGAGCCTTCCAGGGGAAGCCTTACCTCAGAGGCTGGCTTCTTCCTACTCTTGACTTTGCGTCTCCACAGAGGGAGGTGGGAGGGGTGACACACAGCTATGAGTGGCGAGCAGTCCTTTCCTGACTGGCCCATCTTCTCCAGGTGCAGTCCCCCTTACTGTGTCTGCCAAGGGGGGCAGCATAGCCACCGCACTCCAGGGGTAGAGGAGTGCCAGCCCTTACCCACCTGAGTGGGCACAGTGTAGCATTTATTCATTAGTCCCCACGCTGGCCTGACAGTCTCCCCTATGGGCTGCATGACAAGGAGAGAGAAAAGGCTGAGGTGAGATCTGTCAACACCTAAACCTAAAAAATCTATAATTGAACCGGCCACAGTGGCTCATACCTGTAATCCCAGCACTTTGCGAGGCGGAGGCGTGTGGATCCCCTGAGGTCAGGCGTTCAAGACCAGCCCGGCCAACATGGTGAAAACCCCGTCTCTACTAAAAGTACAAAAAATTAGCTGGTCGTGGTGGCGGGCATCTGTAATCCCAGCTACTTGGGAGGCTAAGGCAGGAGAATTGCTTGAACCTGGGAATTGGAGGTTGCAGTGAGGTGAGATCACGCCATTGCACTCCAGTCTGGTCAACAAGAGTGAAACTGTCTTTTTAAAAAAATCTATAATTGATATCTTTAGAAAGATAAAACTTTCCATTCATGAAATAAGAATAGGAGGTTCTAAAATAAAAATGTTCAAACACCCACCACCACTAATTCTTGACAAAAATATAGTCTAGGTGCCGCAGCTCACGCCTGTAATCCCAGCATTTTGGTAGGCTAAGGCAGGAGGACTGTTTGAGCCTAGGAGTTCAATATCAGTCTGGGCCACCTAAGACCCTGTCTGTACAAAAAATTGAAATACTAGCTGGGTGTGGTGGCACACACCTGTAGTTTCAGCTGCTTGGGAGGTTGAGGCAGGAGGATCACTTGAGTCTGGGAACAAGGCTGCAGTGAACTATGATCCTGCCACTGCACTCCAGCCTGGGCAACAGAAAGAGACCTTGCCTTAAAAATAACATAATAATAGGAATGTAAAATGTAATCAAAGAATACAAGCTAAACTTGAAAAAAATATTTTCCAGAAAGAACAGAGAAGAGGTCAGGAGCTCCAACAGCTAAATTGTTTAGATGTTTCTGAAAGAGGCAGCAGAGACAACAGACTAGGAGGCAGGGAGAGATGTCAAATAAATACATTTCTTTTTTGTCAAGACAAGTTCTCAGAAATGAAGAACATGAGTTTCCAGTAGAGAAGGAAACATCAAGTGTTCAGGACAATGAATGAAGGGGACTCGCCCCTGATTTTGTTGTCAAGAAATTTCACAGCACCGAGGACAGAGCGGAACCTAAAAACTTCCAGAGATACAAACAAAAAAGTCTGAGCTTTAGGAATTCAACATTCATCAGACTTCTCAACACCAACCTTTGAAGCTATAAGATAATGAAGACCTTCAAAATCTGAGAGAAAATATTTCCAATCTAGAATTCTATACCTAGCCAAATGCTATGCAAGTATGAATTGAGATCTTTTCAGATACATGTCTCAAGACTACCCCTCAGGAAGCAACTGGAGGTTGTACTTTACTAAAAGGAGAAACGGAAAAGAAGATAACATGGGACCCAGCACAACAGGCAGGGAGAGCCCCTGAGCATAAGGGTGAATGGGGAGCTCAGGAGGACAGCTATAGGCAGCAGACCTCCAGGATGCCCCATCCAGATGGAATCAGGGAGATGGAGGGCTCCTGAGATATGTCTCCATGAAAATGATCATATGGACAAATGACCTGATCTGTCAAATGTATTGCAAAAGAGATTTCTATTTTTGGCAGAAAATCTGAATGAATTAATTATATAATAGATGCACAGAAAACTAAAGAGAAGAAGAAAAACCAAAATTATGACTTAACTGGGACTACTGTCTACATTTTTTGTTTTGAGAAAGTCTTGCTCTGTTGCACAGATTGGAGTTTTTTTGAGATGGAGTCTTGCTCTGTCACCCAGGCTGGAGTGTAGTGGCATGATCATGTTTCACTGCAGCCTCCACATCCTGTGCTCAAGTAAGTGACTCTCCCACCTTAGCTTCCTTAGTAGCTGGGATCACAGGGCACCACCACACCCAGCTATTTTTTTTTAATAGACAGTGTCTCCCAATGTTGTCCAGGCTGGTCTCAAACTCCTGGACTAAAGCGATCCTCCCACGTTGACCTCTCAAGTAGCTAGGATTACAGGCATGAGCCACTGTATTTTTCCAATTTTTTTTTCTTTTGTACAGAGTCACACTATGCTGACCAGGCTGGTCTGGAACTTCTGAGCTCAAGTGATCCTCCTGCCTCGGCCTCTCAAAGTGCAGAGATTATAGGCGTGAACTCTCACGCCTGGCTTGTTTACATAGTTTAATAACAAAAATCTTCGATACTGATCTAATAAAAATCGAAATATGCCTTTTAGAATGGCTTTCAAAAATAACAAATGCTGGAGAGGATGTAGAACAACTGGAACCTCTTGGTTATTGCTGATGAGACAGCCACTTTGAAAAAGTTTGAGTTTCTTACAAAATTAAACTTACACTTACTATATGACCCAAAAATTCCACTGCTAGTGCTTTACTCAAGTGTAAGGAAAATCTATGTTCACACAAAACTTGTACATGAATATTAATAGTGATTTTATGCCCCAAACTAGAAACAGCCCAAATGTTCTGGCACATCCAAACAATGGACCACCACTCAACAATAAAAGGAACAAACTACTGATACACATGACTAGATGAATCTCAAATGCTTTGTGCTAAGTAAAATAAACCAGACTGAAAAGGCTACCATACATTTCCATTTATATAACAATCTTCCATTTATATGACAATCTTGCAAAGGCAAAACTACAGGAACAGGAAACTGTTCACTGATTGCCAGGGTGTGGGAGTAGGAGGAAGGGTTGACTACAGGTGACTATTGAGGAATTTTTTTTTTTTTTTTTTTTTTTTTGAGGCGGAGTCTCTGTCGCCCAGGCTGAAGTGTACTAGCGCGATCTCGGCTCACTGCAACATCCAACTCCTGGGTTTAAGGTATTTTTAGTAGAGACGGGGTTTCACTATGTTGGCCAGGCTGGTCTCAAACTCCTGACCTTAGGTGATCCACCTGCTTTGGCCTCCCAAAGTGCTGGGATTACAGGCGTGAGCCACCGAGGCCAGCCACTTTTTTTTTTTTTTTTAAGACAGAGTCTTGCTGTGTCACTCGGGCTGGAGTGCAGTGGAGTGATCACTGCTCACTGCAGCCTCAACATCCCACACTCAAGTGATCCTCTCACTTCAGCTTCCTGAGTAGCTGGGACCACAGGCATGCGCCACCACGCCCAGCTACTTTTCAATTTTTTTTTGTAGAGACAGGGTCTCACTATGTTGCCCAGGCTGGTCTTGAACTCCTGGGCTCCACCAATCCTCCTGCCTTGCCCTCCTAAAGTGTGAGTGAGTCACAGTGCCTGTCCCTTAGATTCTCTCTTTAACCTCTAACTCCACCCTGTCTTCCTCACATTCAGCAGAGAACACAGGCACCATCAGATGGGCATTTCCTCAACTTTCTGCCACCAAACCCATTCACTCACCGGCTTCCCATGGGCCATTTCCTCTTCCAGGGGAGGAGAAGAGGAGGCTGCCCTCCTGTCTCCGAAGCTAGCCTTGCTCCTGTGCCCCATTTCATCTGGTCTTCTCACCTGGGCATTTGGGGATCTCTTGTCTCACCTCAATATTCTCCTTTTCCTTTTTTCTGGCTCCTTCCATCAGCATCTAAACACATTGCTGATCTCTTCCATTAAAAAGAAAAAAGCCCTTCTCCCTTGAATCCATATTCCTTCTCCAGCTACTGTCCTAACTGACCCCCTACCCTTCACACCAGTCTCCTGAAAGTGGTGTTGGCAGGGGGTGTATTTACTGCTTTCTACCTCTCCCACACTCCACAATCCACTTCAACCTGTATCTGTCCCTATAAGCCTCTGAAACCCCCTCACTGAGGTCACCAATACACTCCTAGTCACCAAACCCAGCTGACCCTTTCTTTTTCTTTTTTTTTTTTTTTTTTTGAGACAGAGTCTTGCTCTGTCACCCAGGCTGGAGTGTAGTGGCGTTAGCTCACTGCAAGCTCTGCCTCCCGGGTTCATGCCATTCTCCTGCCTCAGCCTCCTGAGTAGCTGGGACTACAGGTGGCCTGCCACGAGGCCTGGCTAATTTTTTTTTTTACTTACTAGTAGAGATGGGGTTTCAATACGTTAGCCAGGATGGTCTCGATCTCCTGACCTCGTGATCCGCCCCCCTCGACCTCCCAAAGTGCTGGGATTACAGGTGTGAGCCACTGCACCTGGCCCCAGCTGATCCTTTCTTTAACGATCTCGCCTTTTCTCTTGGCTGGCTGACCTCTCATGCTCTGGTTTACCTCCTGCCTCCCACTCTTTTCTCTCTCTCTCTCTCTCTCTGTCTCTCAGTCTCTGTCTATCTCTGTCTCTATTTCTGTCTCTGCCTCTCTCCCTCTCTGTTTCTCTGTCTCTATCTATCTCTAACTCTGTCTCTATCTCTGTCTCTATATCTCAGTGTCTGTCTCTCTCTCTCTCTGTCTCTATCTCTGTCCCTGTCTCTCTCTCTGTCTCTCTCTGCCTAAATCTCAATGTCATTTTGCTCCATGTCTTGCTGCTGACGACAAAGACTCTGAACTTCCACCTCAGACACTCACTTCTAGGCCTTTGCATGTGCTGTTGTCTACTTAGAATGTGTTTCTCCATGGCTTTCAGGAAGCCTTCCCTGACTACCTGAGTTCAGGTGGGGTGGCCCTCCTCAGGGCTCTTAGGGTACTGTACTGTCCCTGACTGAGGGACCACTTTAGGTCCGTCCACTGTCAAACCCCTAGTAGCTGCCCTTATGCGTGGGAAACAGCAAGAGCTCAGTAACCAAATGAATGATTACATGGCTGTGGTTCATCCTAGTGCTTAAAGCCCTGATTAGAGTTGAAAGTTGCTGTATCTTATTCAGAATTCTGCTAGCAATATATTCAATAGTAAGTTTTGCTGGTCATCTATAACCCGGTGTAAGTGAAGTTATCAGGTCTTTTTCTGGGAGGAGGTTTAGAGGAGGAAAGGAGAGAGAATGAGTCCTAAAGGAGAGGAGAAGAGGAGTAGAAGGGGCATGCCAAGTAGAAAAGGATGCAGAAAAGGTAGCCTTGGGGTAAAAAGATAATTTTCACCTGCTTGGTGGTTTATTGAGGGCATCCTTTTAGGCCTGCTTACCAAAGAGGCCAACCTTGATGACGCTAGAAATTTGCAGATAAGCCTTTTACCATATCAGTATCAGGCAGCTTATCTACCCCCTCTTGGGCTCTATGACCAAACCCGAGAGGAGCATTGGGGCCCAGCTAACTCTGGGAG